AGGGAGCCTGATGCGGGACTCGATCCCAGGACCCTGGGATCATGACCTGAGCCGAAGGCAGACGCTTAACCATCTGAGCCACCCAGGCGCCCAAGGCGCTACATTCTGAAAACATTTCATGGGCTTTAAATTTCAAATTTGAATGCTCTGGGACGCGACTCAGAACAAAGCAAAAGCCTGTATTCTTCAAGGTAAAAAAGACTTTCATGAAGGACACTAATAATTGGATGTGAAAAGATGATACACTAAATGAAATTTTATTTTAGATGTAACTAACCAAACAGACTCCCAACACAGTACCAGTCGGCCTGTGAAAGCTAGTTCTACAGTTGTGCTATAGAATGGCAAATAAAATCAGAGTTAACTTGTAAGAAATGGAGTTTTTTAGGAGTTTTAGGAATTTTTAGAAAAATTTTTAGGTATCAAAATGATGGAAGAGGATATAATCATAATAGTGTTACCATACCCACAAGATGATCTTCACAAAAATAAGATTTACCATAAAACAGAAACTCCAAAAAAGTAGAAAACCAGAATCTTTAAAAAAGTAAAGACTAACCAGCAATTCCACCTCTAGCCATATACCTGAAATTATTGAAAACAGAGATTCAAAGAAATATTTACATAGCCAGTTCACAGCAGCACAATAACCAAGTGGTGGAAGCAACGTTAGTGTCCACTAACAAATGGATGGATAAACAAAATGTGGTGGTTTGCACACACACACACACTCTCTCTCTCTCTATTTAACCTTAAAAAGGAAGGAAATTCTGACACATACCATAACATGGATGAACTCTGAGGATATTATGCTAAGTGAAATAAGCCAGTCAAAGGTCAAATACTGCATGATTTCACTTACATGAGACACCTAAAGTAGTCAAATTCATAGAGAAAGAAATGAGAATGGTGATTTCCAGGGGTGGAAGATGGAGAGAATGGAGAATTATTGTTTAATGGGTATAGAATTTCAGTTCTGCAAGATGAAAAGAGTTCTGGAGAAGAATGGTGGTGATGACTGCATGACAAAGTGAATGTCTTCAATGCCACTGAACTGTACATTTAAAAATAGTTAAGATGGTAAATTTTGTTGTGTGTACTTTACCACAATTAAAATAATTAATTTTAAAATTAAAGCCTAAAGATCCTAGATTTAGAAAGTAGAATACATGTTATAAAATAAATGTATACGATTAAACAGAATAACTATCTGAAAAGAACTAACCAGAATATTAGCAAACTAAAGTAGTATCAATAATTTTTTTGTTTTTCAAATTATTACACACTGCTTATTTTTCAGACTAGATATATAACTGCCTGTCGATTATTAAAGTTTGTTTAAAACAAGCCTTAAGCAATTTCTAAACCATTAAGAAACTATACACAATACAATTTATTGTCAAATATATCTTATTCCTGTTTACTTTTTTAAAAACTGGTGATTCCTCTATGATACAGATAAAGTAATATATTTTTTTGATAAAGAAATATATTAAAACATAGTTTTAAAAAGCTCACTTCAGCAGCACATATACTAAAAAATTAAAAGCAAGGGGCACAAGTTGGGAGGCCATTAATGTTGTTTATGGCTTTAGGTACAACTTTATTGGGTATATTTAGTTTCTGAAAGAAAATTCACTGAGATATACCCTTAATATTTGTATACTTTTATGTATGTATACTTTTTGAAAGAATTCCCATCTACCCCCATTAAAAACAGCATGTCTTTCTTTAATATGCCAATAAGAATGTATACATTTCACCTACCTCAGTAGACTGCTTTCCACTGTAAGACATTTTCTTGATAGCCACCACTTCATTGGTGCGTACATCTCGTGCCTAAAAAAACAAAGCAAGGACCATTGTAAAAATGAACAGATTACATCTGTGCAATTATTTTTCTGAGAATTAAAGCATTTATAAGCTATCCTATCAAAAAGGACATCAAAAGTGCTATTAAAGCACATTTAAAAAATAATAATAAATACATAATGAAACTTATCAAAATATCCAGGAGCTCATATACTGGAGAGAAAAATAAAGGTTTATCTTTCAGTGATTTAGTTGAGAGAAAAAATACAGAAATCTTAATAGTACTATAAACAGAAACAAAACAAGACTAGTATATATAAGTCTATGCTAATAAATTTTGAAATCTCAATGACATGGACAATTTTCTGGTTAAAATTACTAAAACTGATCTAAAGAAAAAATGTGAGGAAAACACCTGTGGCATATTGAAAAGAATACCAATTAATTATCTTTAAAATAGTCTTAAGTGGAAAATAGTTTTACCAGGGGAACTTTTCAGGATATAAGTGGTAACAAAAAGTTACCCCATTAATTTTACGAAGGCAGTATAACCCAGAAACTAAAACCTCACAAACAGTACAAAATAGACAGTACCAATTTCATTTGAAAATACAGACAAAAGAATTCTAAATACAATTTAAAAACCAAGTATTACACAGGGCATTAAAATAAATATTCATTTGGATAAAATATATATCACAGAAATGCAAAAGATTTAGATACTAGGAAGACGTACCACATTTTAAAAAATATTTATTTGAGAGGGGGACAGAGAGAGAGAGAGAGAGAGAGAAAGCTCACATGCTGAGCAGGGGGAGGGGCAGAGGGAGAGAGAGAAGCAGATTCCCTGGTGAGCAGGAAGCCCAACAGGGCTGGACCCCAGGACCACGATGCTTGATAGACTGAGCCACCCAGGTGCCCCTCATTTACCATGTTTTTATTAAAAGTCAAATGGGAAAAAAGTATATAGATCAATGCTCAATAAATGCTGAAAATGCAGGAAGGGCCCAATGCTAAATGTACTCAATTGCAGGGAACGTCAAACTCCTAGAAAACCTAAATTAGAAAGGTAATTTCTCAACGTGACAAATCATGTCTACTGTAAACAACTGCTAATCAGAATTAATACTGTACAATGATACCATAATTATTTACCACTCTTGTGGAAATTCTGAAAACAAAGTGATAAAAACATAACAGAAATACGATCATTAACTCTTTGGAAGGGGCACCTGGCTGGCACAGTTGGCTGAGCATCCCACTCTTGGTTTTGGGTCACGTCATGATCTCAGACTCCACATTCAGCAGGGAGTCTTCTTGGGATTCTCTCTCTCCCTCTCCCCACTGCTCTCTCTCTCTGTCTCTAAAATAAGTAAATAAATCTTAAAAAAAAAAAAAACAAAAACAAAGAACTCTTTGGAAAAGAAGAGCCAAACTCTTACTATACCCACACACATGCACACACCCACACACGCACACGAGAATAGCTGTAAATACTTAAAATGAGTTACTCTTGATTTTGGCTCAGGTCACGATCTCAGGGTGATGAGATCAAGCCAAACTGTGTTGGGTTCCATGCCGGGCAGGAAGCCTCTTTGGGATTTTCTCTCTCCCTCTCCCTTTGCCCCTCCATGCCACCTCCCTCAAAGCTCACTCTCAAAACAAAAATTTTTTTTAAAAAAGACACCATTTCTGGAAACAACTGACATTTCAATTTCAATTAATAGTAGACTGGTTAATGGAAACTTGCACCACTTGTTATAATGGATAAAGTGGACCTAGCCACGTAAGTCCTGCCTATTTTTCAATGAATTTATTTTTCCAAAATGTTCTCTACTTATCTCTGAGCCCCTTGATTTTAATCAACAGGTGTTAACAGCAATATTCTTTTCCTTTATAAGAGCTTTATTGAGATAATATACATTCCATTCAATTCACATTTGAATGTGTGCAATTTAATGGCTTTTAGTACAAAGATATATGCAACCATCACTATAATTTTAGAACTTCTATCACCTCAAAAAGAAAACTCCAAATTGTTCATTTAAAAAATGGTTAAAATGATAAATTTTATGTGTTTTACACTAAAATCTTTTCTCTATTAAAAAAGAAAATAAACCCCGTACCTTTTAGCAACTGCCCTCTTAATCCTTTTCCCCATCACTTCAGCCCTAAGCAACAACTTATCTCTCTGTCCCTCTAAGATTTGCCCATTCTGGACACTTCATATAAATGGAACCATATAACATGTGGTCTTTTGTGTTTGCTTCTTTCATTTAGCATAATGTTTTTAAGATTCATGACTCATGATGTTAAGCATCTTTTCTCGAGCTTCCCGGCCATTTGTACATCATCTTTGGAGAAATGTCAATTCAGATCCTTTGCCCGTTTTTAAATTGTCTTTCCATTATTGAGTTGTAAGAGTTCTTTATTCTAGACAAATCCACTATCAGATATGATTTAAAATTATTTTCTCCTATAGGTTGTCTTACAATGTTTTGAAACACAGTTTTTTATTTTGATGAAGTCCAATTTATCTATTTTTTCTTTTGTTGTTCATATTTTTGGTGTTATATCTAAGAATCCTTTGCCAAAACCAAGGTTATGCAGATTTATCCCTAGTTTTCTTCTAAAAGTTTTATAGATCCATTTTGAATTTTTATATATGGTTATCAGGTAAGGATCCAATTTTATTGTTTTGCATTAAACAGATGCACTTTTTAAAAAAAGATTTATTTATTTGAGAGAGCAAGCATGCAAGCATGGCATGGGGGAGAGCAGAGGGACAAAGGGAGAGGGAGAGAGAATCCCAAGCAGACTCCCTGCTGAGCATAGAGCCCCATGAGGGGCTCGACTTCATGACCCTGAGATGATGACCTGAGCCCAAATAGTCAGGAACTTAACCAACAGAGCCACCCAGGAGCCCCCAGATGTAGTTCTTTTGTTTTTAATGGTGATTTTGTCTTTCTCTCTTTCTCTCCCTTTCTTTCTTTTTATTTTGAGAGAGAGAGAGAGAGAGCATGAGCGGAGGGGAGGGGGGGCGGAGGGAAAGGAAGAGAAGAGAATTCCAAGGAGACTCCCTGCTAAGGGTGAAGCCCCACATGGAGCTGAATCCCACAACCCCAAGATCACGACCTGAGCTGAAACCAAGAGTCAGCCACCTAACCAACTGAGCCACCCAGGTGCACCACCAGATGAACTTTTAATTAGCCTAAGACAAAGCCTGATTTAAAAGTGGGTATATTGGAGGTGCCTAGTATAGGCCCTCGGATTCCCCCCACCTTTATCTCTCTCTCTCAATAAATAAATAAATAAATAAATAAATAAATAAAGCTAAATGCAATGCAATTTTCTGGATTAGATTCTAGAACAGAAAAGAGACAATGGAAAAACTGGAAAAATCTGAGTAGAGTATATAAGTTTAGAGTATCATTTGATCAATGTTGATTTCTTAGTTTTGATAAATGTAATGTTGATAAACATAATGTTGACAAAACCATGTTACATACGTATGTAACATGTTAAAATTAGGGGAACCAGGTCAAAATTAGAGAGGAAAACTCTTTACTATTATTATAAAATCTCCTGTAATGTTATTTTTTAAAAAAGATTTTATTTAATTATTTGACAAAGAGAAAGAGAGAGCACAAGCAGGGGGAACCCGATGTGGGGCTTGATCCCAGGACCCTGGGATCATAACCTGAGCCAAAGGCAGACGCTTAATCGATTGAGCCATCCACGTGCCCCTAACTTACTATTTTAAAATAACATTACTGCTCAGCGGGAAACCTGCTTCTCTCTCTCCCTCTGCCTGTCGCTCCCCTGCTTGTGCTCTCTCTTTCTTTCCCTCTCTCTGTCAAATAAGTAAATAAAATCTTAAAAAAAAAACCAGTAAGTTAAATTAGAAAATTATTATAATTTATTAAAATCCAAACCTATTAGTACTGTTACATTCAAATTAAATGAGATACCTCTGCGGATTATGTCTAAAACGAATAAATAAAAATATATAATGCCTACATACATGTTTTTCCCTCCCTTCAGGATCACATGTTGTACTTTGTTATCATGTCTTATTAGTCTCCTCTAATCTAGAACAATTCCTTAACCTTTGTCTTTCATGACACTGGCATTTTTGAAGAATATACAGTGGTATTTTACAGAATGTTACTAAATTTGTGCTTGTCTGGCATTTCTTCATGATTAGATTCTGGTTATACATCCTTGGCCAAAATACTACAAGAGTGATATTGTCCTTTCCAGGGTACTGTATCTGTAGGCATACAATGTCCTCCTTGATGTTACTAATTTTCATCACCTACTCAAGGCATTGCCTGTTCTTTCCCAATGTATATAGTTATAGTTACTATTTCCTACCTTATATCTAACAAGTAATCTGCGAAGAGATACTTTTAAACCATGGAAACATCCTGCTCATCAAACTTTCCCTCTAGATTTAGCAACCACTGAAATGTTCTAGGCCCAATCTTCACTATGATGATTACAAAATGCTGGGTTTTTTTTCAACTCTACCATTCCCTTCCCATTTAACAGTTAGCTTTCTTTTTTTTTTTTTTTTTAAGATTTTATTTATTTGACAGAAAGAGAGCACAAGCAGGGGGAGCAGCAGGCAGGAAGAGGGAGAGGGAGAAGCAGGCTCTCCGCTGAGCAGGGAGCCTGATGCGGGGCTCTATCCCAGGATCCCGGGATCATGACCTGAGCCGAAGGCAGCTGCTTAACCGAATGAGCCACCCAGGTGCCCCATAACAGTCAGCATTCTATTATGAGGAAAAGCCCTCCCTTTTTATCCATCCATTCATCCATCATCTGTCATGGAAATAATGGATTCCTATTTTACTCAAAAGGCTATACAATCCATTACCATTTTTATACTGATGCTTATATTACAGGATTTGGCCAGTGGGAGCCCCCTCAATCTGGCTCTGGTGTCCTTTCAACAGGCCCCAACTTTTTTTTTTTTTTCTTTTTTTCTTTTTTCTTTTTTCTCTAAAGCACTTTTTAACTTT